CTACCCAAATCATGGTTTGGGTTTTCAAGTTACATGTTGCTTCAATATTTTATGTATAATAAATAAAATGCCTTTACTGCTGAATAAACTACATGGTAATCTTCAGTCTCTATTTATACATAAAAACAAACGTTGTTTACAGCTCCTTCGACAAAGTCCTCCAAAGATTTCCAATGTTGGCGATCTCTAGCAGTACGATTCCGCGTTTGTGCCGCTATCTTTCAGACCGCACTATTTTTATAGTTATGGGATAGGAGGCAAACGACTAGGCTACTTTAAATAGACACTCATGGACACCTGTAACGTCGGGAGCTAGCGGGTGTGTTGACGATCGGTTTTCTTGAATTCCCTCCATCATCTCCACCTCTATCTTCTAGTCTGTGTGCCTCACTTAACACTTTTGTTTCCTACTTACTAGGTACTGTTACCGTTATTCCATTTTTGCTTTTTCTTGTACACCTTCACTTTATTTGTCTGAATAATATGTATGAAATTAAACGTTGTTTATCTTTCTATAATATTTAGACAAATTTCATTTTCCAGTTGCCATGATGCCCAGTTCCAACATCCGTACAGCAAACATAGCCACAATCACATATTGTTCATTCCTTTGCATTCTATTCATTTCGATTGGTTAATGCCGTCGGAAATATTAGTATGGATAAATCATTGTTTTCCATATACCTGCAAGCAATAAGTGTTTCAGATCCCGGAGGTATACCCTGCTGTCTAAGTGGCGCTCACAAAATGTCTTCAGCAGTCACTAATTCCGATTATGATCTCGCTGATTAACCGTTTCCTCACTGCACCAGAATTGTATATGTCTGTTCTGTTGAAAGGTTTGGGAAGGTTGAGAGACGAAAAGTAAGTTCTAAGTAGAATTTTTTTGTAGTTTAAGGTAAGTATATACATTGTAATTATTGTTTTACATGTATGCTGTACATAAATAAATACTATACAGGCCTGCGGTCTGAGGCCTTTGAGACACATGACATTTGATTTAACTTATATATACTTATTATTACTATCTTTATATAGTTATATGATTCTACTGTACGTGTGTATGTCACTGAACTCCTCTTAAACGGCTCAACCGATTTGAATGTTTTTTTTGTATGCGTTTGGGTGGCGCCCTGGATCTAAACCAGATTCACAAATCAGCCCGGCAGATGGCGCTGCAGTCGGTGCTTTCATACTTTGTTAAATATCCTAATCGCTTGAAATATCACGCAGGACAACGTCTGTCAGGTCCGCTAGTTCTATATATATTTAGATAATAAAACTGTAATTCATCACAAACTGATTTAACTAATTAATACGATGAGAAACTAATAGATACCTTAGAAGCTTATTGGTAATAAAACTTACACGTAAACAACCTGAACCTTCTTGACTAACTTGGTTTTAAGTATAGGTATTACTCGAACATATTGTTTTAGAACATTGTTGACGTGTTGTCATAGAAACCAGTTCAGAAACTGTTCTAAACTATAAACGACTGCCACAGACTACTACAAATATAAATTGATATCGAAACGCACTTAAAGCTCGACAGATAATCTTACTTCCATTTCTCGTTATAATCTAGTCAAAATTATCGTCTTAAGGACAGCGTGACAGTGGATGTCTTTATAAAAACGGCACCATTAAAATTATTCATATTGTCCCAATTTCAACCTTAATATTAGGTAGTAAGGTCTGGAATAAAACAGCAATAGAAAAGAAAATTATTAAGCTTGAATTTTGATAAAGAATCCATATTTCATAATCCACACTTTTGTCTTGTAAAATGTCGCGTCAATTTTGATATAGTATTTTGATCTGTAATTCATAAGAGTTACGGGTGCGTTTCCAGTGTACATTTTTATAAAAGGGTTATTAGTCATTATTGAAATGGTATCATGGTGTTGTGACGTGTTTGATTAATAATGGTAAAGTCTGTGGGCATTATCGCAAAGTATTTTTAAATTCGTATATGTTATCAGTTTTAGTAAAAGATTTTGATAAGCCGCACCTAATTGAATAAAAGTTAAGTCTAGTTAAAGTAAGAAACAAAACTTGCGACTATATTATTTATGAAATACTTGATATAAATATTTATGGAGTAATTAAAAATAAATTTATGAATTCGGTATATTTTCTGAATTATTACAAAATTACTTTCTAATATTAAATAAAATATTATTTTCTCTTTATAACATAAAAGTAAACAGTATAGAATAATCCGTTGCTTCGCCTGCGCTATTTTCAAGTTTTATATTCAAAATGGGTTCTGATATTAGCAAGCATAATATATCATAACTGCCTATATTGCTGTAAAATACTTTTCCAAGTAGGTACATACAAATATGAACTACCTACTATAAACACTAATAATTAATCGGCAAGCCGTTTAATTACTATTTCACAGCTTGCCCATGGCCATAGGCCTCCTCTAAGAGATTCCACTCTTCTCGGTGTCTAGCTTTACGTAGCCATAGGGCCAGCTGCTCTACTTATCTCCCATCTTTTTGTCTTCCTCGTTTTCTTTTGTCATGGAGCAAGTCTTACCGTCGCTTTTTTCGTCCATTTATCTTTGTCTTCTCTCTTAATGTGTCCTGTCCATTTCTATTTCAATCTTTTACTAGAAGTAACAACATTTCTAAACTTTGTCATGTCTTTTATTTCTTCTACTTTTACTCTATCTTTCAATTTCAGACCTAGAACACTCCTTACGATACTATTTTGACATACTCTTAGTTTATTTTCTTGTTTATCAGTGAGTGATCAGCTTGACATGCCTATATCAGGCACGGTAATATACAGGCATCAAAGAATCTTGTAAAACATTTTCAAGTTTCTCTTCTTCATTACTTCTAACAGTGACCAGTATCTTTTCCAATTATTTGTGACTCTACGTTCCAGCTCTTTGTATATATACTATATACTAACGTCAATATTTAATAATACTAATCGATGCAATAGTACATAATTTGAAAACTCAATTCATTTCTTTGTAAGGTGTTTTTTTACGTAATTTTTGTTGTTCAAGGTGTTCCAAGTATGCCACCTTAATCTTTCAACTTTCAGAATGTCAGTGACGCATTATATTGCATCTTGACAATAATTATATATACGACGTTACTTTGATTACTGTTTTCGTTTGGTGATTACACTTTAGATTTAACCCATCCAGGGATATTCCGGCATCGCAAGTACAACTGTGACCCGAAAACCTTAAAAAAATATGTACTTAAACCTTCCTCATGAATCATTCTAGATATTGGTGAAAACTTTCTAATTCCGTGTAGTGATATTAGAGTTTACCGCGAACAGACAAAAGATAGGCGCGGCGGACTTTTGTTTACCTATATAATATATTAGTTAGACAAAGACGGTTAAGTAGATCTAGTTAGTGTAGTTTACGCTCTACAACCTGACAAACTTTTCCCCCGTTATAATTTTAGTATAAATTAAAGCGTAGGTTAAATCTTATAAACTCAAAGATTTACGTAGGTAGCAATAATCCTCGACTTTCCATAATAATTGCCCGTATACCTGCCACTGGGCTCCGTAATTGATGATTATTGGATAACGAACGTTTCCGGTAGAAGGAGACATCGTTAAAGTGAGATAGAAGATCAAAGTATCAATTTGTTTTAAAATTTTGTCATTGTGTGACTTCAATTTCATATACCTAGATATTATTCGATCTAGAAAACGCAGATTTATTTCCTACTCAAAAATATACAGTATTTATAATATTCTTAACCTATAAATAGTGGCTTCAAATAACAATAATTCTAAATAGGCCTAGTGGCTTCAGCATGCGACTCTCATCCCTGAGGTCATAGTGTCGAACCGGCATCACACCAATGGACTTTCTTTCTATGTGCGTATTTAAAATTCGCTCGATCGGTGAAAAAAAACATCGTGAGGAAACCGACTTGCCCTAGACCCAAATAGTCGACAGCGTGTGTCAGGCACAGGAGGCTGATCACCTTGCCTGTTCGATTGACAAATTATCATGAAACAGATACAGAAATCGGAGGCCCGAAAAGAGGTTGTAGTGCCACTGATTTATTTATTTATTTTAAAGGCGATAGGTTTCTATTACGGTTTATATACTGTATTGTTACGTTCTTGTGAACACACAAAAATATTTATAAGATTTTAAATCATCTATAACGATTTAACACACTTCGCTACATTTATCCACGATAGATACCTACCCATAATCCAACATCATGCAGGCATAGGTATTTTTATTTAAATTACCTAAACTGACATAATCTAGAACTAAGCTACTCTAAGGAACATAATTGTGCTAAGAAATCAATCATATCTGAATTTAAACTTGGAAAAATTCAATGTGAACAATTCAATAAGCTACATAAATGATTCGTCACAGTTTCAGACAATAAGAATACATAACATCTGCCACTGAACAAACCGCGAACATGGCAGCATTTCACACCTTCCATCGATTTACGTCCAACAAATAAATTGAACTATTTCCACTAACTGTCAGCTGGACCATTCACTACGGGGTAAATAAAAAGCACTCGCTCCCAGCCTCCCAGATTCGCAACTATTATCTGGCTTCAACCAATCCAAGATGGAGATGCTATACCCGGAAAGCCATTGGCCCGTATAATCCCCTCGAGTCCGCCCCTTCTTTAAACTCCGCCCATTTCATGCAAAAACATGCTAGTTACCCACAGTACGCGCCCGTCAACGTCACAAGTATAACGCAAAGAATGTTACAAGATACACCACAGCCGTGAAACGAGTCTCATAAAATCACGTTTCTTATCCGCTTATCATAAGTTGCATCACTGGTTCAATCCATCCTTTTCTTTTACCGATTCACTACGTGTGAGAAGAAGACGGACGATTAATTTGTCGTGTGGTGGTGTTTCTTTCGCGTTCAGTGTTCGTTCCACCTGACGGGCAAGCGGACGGCCGGTCCAGTCCCGGTTAAGTGATGTGTGTAATGTAATTCGGTTTCGATAACAAACATGATGACTATGGACATCGGGATGTACAATAACCAGAATGGGTACAACGCTGAGTACTATCAGCAGGGATCTTACCAGACCCCGTATGAGGGCTATCACGAGGGGTACTATGAGCCAAGCACGCACTATTATGAACCGATTCTGCACGGACAGCCTGAAACGAACCCAGTGATAAGCACGGACACAGGGCTGTGTTACACGAACTTGGATTATGGAGAATTGCCCCAATATCCAATCCAGCCATTACCGGCGCACCCAGAGACATTTAAACATAGAGAAGATCCAAGACAAGACGAAATGCTTCACGAACATAAATTAGACAATCACTATTTAGAGACAAAATATAACATGCACTTTGTGGATGACACAATGCAGTATAGTCATGGGTCACCACTGCCGTGTGGGGAGTTTGAGGTTCCGTACGTCCCAAAGGAGGAGTTTGGGGGGATGAGGGAGTTCCCTCGAGAGGGGGACATGCAACACCACGTGGCGCACCAGACTCATCCGCAGCATGCTGTGCCTACGTATAAGTGGATGCAGGTCAAACGGAACGTCCCCAAGCCAGCAGGTAAGCTTCTTAAGAGTTATCGAACAATTAAAAGTAATTATTGAAAATATCATGTTGTTGTTTGAAGTTCCGTAACCAAACTGTCCCCAATCACTGCACATTATTATTCGTCGGGAATGGAACCTCTGCCCTCACTATGAAGTCTATAAATATGGATACAGTACTTTACCGCTTTAATAATTAATACTGTTCATCATCAATTATAAAGTTTTACGTATGCCTAGGTTTCAAGTAACCTCAGGTCTGATAAAAAATAAAACAATAATTTTACTAATATGTATATCAAAAGCTAGGCACCTACTTTTAGTTCTTCTTAGACTCAGTTGCCCACAGAGTTGTATCTGGATCCTGGATTTAAATCTTAGAAAAACAGTCATTTATTAAGGCGTTTATGTTCGCTCTTGTTTCAATGAGATATAACGGGACATTCCCGTCTTATTTTTTATCAAATTTATTCTGCAATGATTTGTATTATGACAAACAGATATCAATTCTGATAACAAAGCATGCTGTATATATATATTTACACATAAAATAATAAATAATTTAAAAATAAAACTAAAGCGTTTTTATTAAGAGGGTAAAATCTTATTTAATAATTATAAAATTAATATCTAATATAAAAACAAAGACGTGTTAGTCACACCACTTATAACTCAAGTTCAGCTAACATAGGTTAGTTATCTCTTTTTTGGTGGATTCTTCTCTGCTCCGAATAACAGAATAAGTACCTATGAAATATCGGAAAAGTTATCGAATAACAATAAATTTATTAATTAATTTTACGAATGCAAACAGCATGTGGTGTCATCTGTTGACAAAACTACTCATCATTTTACATTAAATTGGTGTCAGTTCAAGAAATTCCGATCTTGAGGGGAATGAGGAGATGCATAACCAGACTTTGATCCTGATCGATCCTCATCAAAAAATTTTGCTGTTGCTTTAACATGCAGTATCCATATTGGCGCTAGAGAGAAGAGGCCTAATGAGTAAAACTGCCATTCTTCTTTCGCAATGACAAGGAATTGTAATAATGTTTTTACCTTAATGAAATCCTAAATTAAGTTTAACTAAATTTAACACGATATATTAGACTGTTAGGCGGAACGAAGTTAGCCGGGTTAGTTAGTAGGTACCTACATAATAATTACTGTAACATCACACATTAGTGAAAGGTTTCGATACGTTTATTTAAGATCCTGTTCAGATTTAATCTTTTAAAGAATTGTATTGCATTTCTGAATGATAAGGGTAGGATTCTAATAGCAAACTTATGAGCCCCTATATTCATAATGGTTTTAACATTCGGAAACCCAACTTAGCGGAAAGTCTCCCCTATGCCCTTAGATATTATAATATTTTACTCACTTTTTGTATAAAAAATATCGTGTTTAACAGGTTAAACTCAGAAATTAAAAATAAAATAGAATCCCGTAACATAGCCATGGAAAATCTTATACAACAGGTATACCTAAGGTTATCTCATTACGAAAACTTTCTCTTAAGAATAATATTAAATAATATCTTAAACTAGCATTTCCAATGTTTAAACCTAGAATGTAGAAAAAACAAAACAAAAGATAATAAACTCCAGACTTGAGTTATGTAACCTAACATTAGTTATATTACGTAATATATATAGATATATAAAAGAAAAATGGTCTTCGCTTGAAGCCAATAGGAGCCTTTAGCCTTACCGCATCATAATGTAATTACCACACCTTAAAAGTCCTAGATTGAGAACTCTTCAATAGGCAATTTTTTTATTAAAGGTCGCAACGTCCTGTCATGTTTTTAGTTATAAGATCATGTTTTAAACAATTAAAGCCAATTGTTACATCGGACTTCAACGGAAAGTGTTTCATTTAGGTATTTAGAACATATCCATACGTCAACCTCTGTTGAACTTAATTCGTTGTTCGAAATAATACAATTTTCATTGTTGCCGGAGTTTAAAGAAGAATTTTTAAACTATTATAATGTTTTTGTCATGAGCCGTTAAATGTTATTTAATTTGGCCAGCGGGCTCGATACTAGTATATAAATATGTCAAGTTAATGGAACCTTCGAAAGAAGTAACACGATGAGCAGGCCTTTTTATATACAATTTTAAATATTTGTTTTAACATTCGTAGTCCCTTATCGTTAGCACATGACCAACAATAACAAAGCATCATCAAGTCTGACAACTCTTCAATGGCAATTCTAGTTGGTAGTTACAGACTACCAGCAGTCGCAAACCCTACTGTTATCTTAGTTCGAAGATCGGATGTTTTAAACAATTAAAGCCAATAGGGCTTACCCAGTTCAACAAACTGTTTCATTTTAAATTTAAGCATATCCATCCGACTAACCACCTCCGAAATTGGTTCTTGTTCAAGTAAGTAAAATTACTAAATGTTGCGTCGGAGTCACTTTTTAAACTATGATTTACAAAATTTTCGGTCATGTGACGTTAAATGTTATTCAACCTGGCCGTAAGTCTGGTTTCTGATATACGACGCCATAACTCCTTGCTTATTGTTGATGTAAACTTAACGGACAAGTAAAATATCCAATGGAGTAGGTCTTATTAAATTATCCATTTTAAACTATTCACAGGTATTAAATACTATTCCTAATTTAGTACTGTCAATTAATTCAAGCTATGAGGTTAAGCGGATATCACATTGGCAATCGGTGTTTTGTGTTATGTTAATAAGCCAGTAAGTCCATACGTACTTGTTCGATAAGCGGGTTCAGACAGCTTGCATAGGACTTTCATTTTTTTATGCTTACTGGCTTACTAAGTTTAGTAAGTACTTACTTCGGCCGAACACGCCCAATTATAACCTTCTAAAAATTTCATACAAGACAATCAAGGCTGCACCAGTAATTAAAAGAATCGCTTAATTAAAGACCAATTAATATATGACAGGTAACATTTACTACTTGTTATTTCGTGACTTATTAACAATTCGTATAAATGCGTACAAGCGTTTTTTAATTAAACCGATATTGTGACATCTAATTCATTATTTTCTTGTTGGTAACTACTTTTAACGAGGTAACGACAAATTATGAACAATTTGTTACAAGTAAACGACGTTTATTTTGTATTACTTTATTAAATATAGCCTGAACTAGTTAGTGAATGTTGCAAACAAATTATTTGGCCTAAAAATTACAACAACAAAAATATATTTTTACCTTAAGGTAAAGAATACATCGCCAGGAAACAGTTAGAGAAACTAGCATTTTTTGTAAGAACAATTTGACGACATTACATCAGCCATCTCCCTCGGTATAAACTACACTTAACCAAAGGACTAATCTCAGAAATAGGATCATTATAGCTAGTAAATAAACAAAACATTGCAACGACAGCGAAAATGACTAAACATTTCTTACTTACCCATAGTCTGTAATAACTAGACTAGATTGTCTGTGGCGATATGTCACCTCCTGTCACGGTATAGACGTCTCTATCGAAATCTCTTTGACACTTACACACGTCTAATTAGAGTCTATCATCTATGCAACGATTTATCATTACTATAGTTCTTTAATATAGTAAAATTATCTTTTCGACCAGTAGTTTTAATCATATTGGAAAAAATATAGATAAATTACACTTTTTAAACTAACACGTCTTAAATGATGTTTATTTTAAATTAAAATTGCTAATAACAGTTTTGCATTAAATATCTCGTAAATTATAGAATAATTAATAATATATAAAGAGCAATGCAACTAAATTTAATGTACAAATTAATTAACAGTTTAACTCGTAACTGAGTGCAGCTGAATAAGGGAGGAAGTATATATCTAAACATACCAATGTTTCTTACATTAGCATGGTCCTTTTAAATTTGTTATGATCGTAAATTTCGATGCCTTGCTATAGAAAACGAAATGTCGAAATAAAAAACAGTCAAATATAATGAATGTTGAATGATTTAACTTCTTGAAACAATTTAAACAAAAACTATTAATTCGTGACGGTATGTGAAATCTATCAAATTATTTGGTGTGTCAGAGGTTGTGACCCGACTCTGACGATCTGACAGAAGTGTCTGACACCCCGTAGACACGCTTCACTGCTAACAGCCGACTGTCACTTTATCATTCAAATTAATTTAAGCTTAAAAAAGAAATTGTAAAAGTTAGCACTAATAGAACACAATGAAACAGTATTTAAATTTTAGTTATTTTTAACAGGACAGTAAGATATTGTACATAGAACTCTTCTCCTGCTAGTTCTCAAAACTGTTATACCATAATGGCCTGTAAAATATCGTATAATATTATATACATCTGAGATATATAAAAGCTAACATATCTAGCGTATACCAAATTTTGATATTAAATTATTATTATTTAAATTTCGTTACATAAAATAAAAACATACCTATAACATTAATGAATAGGGATGTAACGGGCGGCCTAGCAATCAATCTTTTTCAGGCAAAAAACATAGAAAAAAGAAATACTAAGGATAAAGTGCAAGAAATGCCTAACCAAATCTACAAAAATAAAATATAGGTAATAAAAAAGGCGGCAACGCACTCGCGAGCCCTCTGGTATTGAGAGCGTCCATGGGCGGCGGTATCTCTTAACATGAGGTGAGCCTCCTGTCCGTTTGCCCCTTGTTCTATTAAATAAAAGGGATGCATTGCTGGACAGGGTCAAACTTTTTCTATTGGATATTAAATCATTTTAATGAATTTTCAAGGTTTTTTTAAAGGAAAATAGTGCTATATATATTATATTCTCTTATAGGCTAAGTTCTACTGTAAAAACTGTATGGCCAGCTAGGATGTTTAGCAGCAAACGACGTTTTTATTAATATTATAATATCTATTTATAATGTGTGAGATTACTTAACTATTTAGGTTTATTTACGAAGTTATAGTTTTTTTAGAGTCAATAAAAAAATGGCGTGTATACAAGTTTTGTCACCCTTGTCCGGCCGTCGCGTGACAGAAAACAAACAGTCGGCCTAATGTCGGATTAGCCGTGTTCGCGTGCCAACTACTGATATTTTAAGTTTCATTAATTC